ACAGGTCATAGATATAAGATATCGAGTTAAACACGTATAAGTATAAATATTAGGAGTAATATTTATACTAGATGGACCCATTATGAGAAAGCTTCATAAAAATTATCCAAGTGTTATAAGCACTTCTCATGGCAACCATACTAGAGTAGTCTTTCAACTTAAAGTCACTATGATTTCTACATGTAGGAGTTGTAGGCTTTGAGACTATCAAATGTTACATTATAAAGGTGGTTAATTGGGCTTACAATGAATCATGTGGAGGGATGTGAGTAGGGATGGCAAATATACCCGTACCCGCGGGTAATATCTGAACCCGTCCTGACTTTGATGGGGAATACCCGGTTTGACCGGGTACGGGTACGGGTACGGGTAAAATCCGATATATTGAATCGAGTACGGGTACGAGTACGGGTATGTACTTACCCGCCCCGTACCCGTACCCGAGATAGAGAAATAACTTAATTATAATTATAATATAATAAAAAAATAATTTTAAAATATCATATTTTTTTATAAAAAATAAAAAATAAAAAATTGACGGGTACGAGTACGGGTATACCCGATACCCGCGGGGACGGGGATGAAGATGAAAATCATATACCCGACGGGTATGGGTACGGGGACGGGGATGAGTTTGACTCGCGGGGACGGGTACGGTTATCATGAACCCCGTACCCGACCCGCCCCGTTGCCATCCCTAGATGTGAGTGATGTAGAAAAGATTCGGACTTCCTGCATATTGGAAGTTTTGTCTTGGACCTCTCGATTAAGTGAGACATCAAATATGTGGTCATGCAACAATAGGTCAATATGAGATATTGGACGTATACGTGTTTGAACGTCTACCTAGGTATCGAGAAATTTGAACTTAATGAGAATGACACTCTTATATCGCGTGTTCAAATCAAAGACACATGGACGAAGGACACATTACTCTATAGTAATTATGGTTGTGGAAGGTTGAAATCAAATCATCAATTTTTCTCATTAATTGGGTGAAAATGATGCATTGCTAGATGTAAATATTTGACTATAATATTTAATATTATTGCCAATTAAGGTGATATTTAAATATTAATGTGATATTTAAATATTATTGTCAATTAAGTAAGAACCTATGGGATCACACGAATTGAATAAAAACATGAAGCAAGTCATTAAATTAAATGAGATTTAATTTAGTGGTTAATTAATAAAATAATATTTAATTAATTAACAAAATATTTAATTAAATTGGACAGGAAATTGGGTTTATATTGTACAAATCCAAAAAGGATGCAAATTAAATTAGGTTAAACAATAGACTGTAAAAGGATGTGTTAACCTAATTTTTCCACCAACATGAAATTTAAGATTTTGTGTTGTCTCACAAAACTACATCTGTCTTCTTTGTGGCTAGCATCAAACCTTGCACTAGTGTTACTTGTGTGGACTAGGTAGAGGCACCATGCTTTTTGTCCTTGGTGATCAAATGATTGTTTTTCTCTCATCCAAACAAAGATTTTTTCAATGGAAGTTCTATAACAATCAGACACACCAAAATGGATCTAGAGAGTTGTACAAGTATAAGATTGTACAGTTGAAGATGACTTTAAGGAATTAATTACCTATACCAACAATATGTAAATATTTCTCGGTAATTTATCACAAAAAAAACCTCATAGTTAAGCATGCTTGATTTAAAGCAAATTAGGGATAATGACCTTCTAGGAAGTTTCCTAGAAGACATGCAAGTGAAAATAAAACACACAAAAAAAAAGTCTTGTGTTAATTTTTTGGGACAATCGTTGATCCTAAAGGCGGTCATACATCTCAAAAGGGGCTACTTATGAAGGGTTCTATACTATAGGTTAAATCTTTCCTTAATCTTTTTGTATATAGTAGATAGATTTCTTGAGTAGGTTTCTCAAGAAAGTGAGAAAGAAAAAGTCTTGTAGTGGGGTGTTATAAGTAAGTGTTTCTTAGGTGCAAGAAATGGTTTCTTTAATAATCTAGGAGTAAATTGCATGTTGTATTGTGATTGTAAATCTCTTGACATTAAACATTAGTGGAAATCTCAAATATTGAATTGATTGGGAATTGGATGTAGGTCACAAGTGGATGTGACTGAACTAGTATAAATTTTTGTGCATATTTCTCTCATCCTTATGCTTGTTTTTACATTCTTGTTAATATGATATCATGTTGAGTAACATGTGTTATAATTCATAATCATTGCATGTAGAGCAATCAGATTCTAAACTTTCATTAACAAGAACTTTCAACATAACATCTTGCATATGCTAAAAAAATCAATTTGGTTCATTGGAAAGTTTTTATAAAAGTTCTTGGTCCAAGAAACTTAAAAAGAATTGTAAAATCCAATTCACCCTCTCTCTAGGATCAACAATCTTTTCTAACACAATCATTGATCCTAAAGGTAATCAAACATCTCAAAAAGGGTTTACGAAGAGTTGTAATCGGTGAAGAATTTTAACCAACGAAAAGTTGAGTAAAGTGTCATCATATGAAGTATCATGGAATGAAACCATTAAGATATCAAATTTGAGGGGTGTTAGAAGTTTTTAAAACACGCTCCAAAGGTAAAAATTATTTTAATAAATATACAAAAAAAAAAAGTATATATTATTTACTTTTATCTAAATAGTGTTTTTAACTTCTATTTGTATTATCTTGATAGTTTTTTTTTTTGGTACATTTATCTAAATAATATTATAAGTCATGCACGATTTACGAGCATACAAAGTTTACTCATAAATATTATAAAATTATATTAATAAATATATAAAAAAATCATATATTATTTATTATATTCAATGAAATTTTATTATATTAAATAGATAAATTCAAAATCAAATTTGACTAAAAGATTTTTTCAGTTTAATAACAAAATAAGATATATCAGAAAATAAAATAAAAATTCTATAAATCTTGAGTCATTTTAAAAATAAACTATCTTTAAAAAGATAATTTTGAAAATCATACTTTTATTATTCATATTTATTTTGTTAAATAAAATAAAATATCCAATTAATGATCATCTTGGATGACAGAATTTTCTTTGATCGGATATTTTTTGAAATTCTTTTAACTTTATATCTATTTCAAATTTTTATTTATCATATTAATTTATTAATTAAATTTTAAAAATTTTAAAATAAATTATCAATAATTAAAATAATCAAGTGTCCTATATAAATTATTTATATTAATTCAAAAATATTATTTATATGTTTAAAAAAATTTATTTATACAATTTTAAATATAATAATTTATATATTTATATTATATATATATAATCTATTATTAATTTTAGTTATCTATACTTATTAATAAAAGTGATATCATTATTAGTAACTATTTTTTGTGTTTACTTTTACATTGACATGACAGATTTGCCCCTATTTATTTTGTCGTTTTTATTTTTTAAAAGTTTTCGTAACTAACAATTTTAGCTCTACAACCATTTAAAACCCCAAACCTTTCAATAATTAACCACTCATATTTAATCTCAATTACTTTTAGCTTTTATTTTTTATTTATAAATAAAAATTATAGAAACACAAAATGTCTCTTTTACACTAATATATAATAAACATTTAATTTATGAAATACATAGGCTAAAATACTGCTAAATAAAAAAAATAAAAAAATAAAAAAACTAGAAAAATAAAATTATATATTAAATTTGTTATAATAGAAAAATTTTTAAAAATCACGATGATAATTTAGGTTTTAGCGTTATTTATGGATAAGCTTTATTATTTATGGATAATTAATAAGCTGCTCTCCTTTAATTGAAGGGTTCACATCCAACACAGCTATAGAGATAATAATGTTTGCAAAAATTGTCCGACCACTACTATCATTTTCTTGCGAATTTTTCTATAAAAAAATATTTGCTAAATTAATATTATACTTCGTTATAGCTGAATTAATATTATCACTAATAGTCAAGTTTACAAATTTTTCAAAAATTTGAAGATTATATTATACTTCGTTATATAAATTTAAATTAATATATAAAATATTTTTATTTAATAAATAAGTCATTAAAATTTAATATAAAATATAAATTATAGAATAAAATAAGTTTATAAAGACTTACTCTAAGCATAAGTCTATGTAATGTTGGATATAATTATTTGAATTAGTAAAATTTTAGATAATATTTAAATCATTATTAAATAATTTTGTGATTATGAAGTATATTAATATTTCATCAATTTTACGAATATTATAATGTTGACTTTGTTCTAAAAGTTACCCTCGGACAAATTGAATCATTCACAACGTAAGTGGGTTGAAAGATTCATATCTTCTCTAAACGAGTTGGAAAATTATCTCCCTTGAAGGAAATTTTACTTGCATGTAAAGTATTCTCTAGAAAGTGGACAGTTTCCTCTTAACAGTAAACACAAGAGTACAGAGCATGATTCTCATTAGTTGACTTCAGGCACACTTTCTTGATCCTTTTCAATTATGCATTGATTATTAGTATGCCATAATATGTGATCGTAAATATTCTGGATGTTGCTGAATTTCTTCAAATTCCTCTTCACATACTGCATTACCACACTATTTTATGTTACACAAAATGGGCAGTTCGTGCTCAGTTGCTCATTGTCACTCCCCATCTCCACATAAACATCATTACTAACTTCTCTACAAACACAACGAGAATCTTCATATAGAGAAGGATTCAGCGATTGGTTTAACCAAGAAAAATCATTGGCAATTTAAAAATTATCATTGATTTTTCCAAGGCTCTCACAACAGTTCTCTAGGGTGAATGAAGTTGTTGCCTATAGCTCCCTTTGGCATCCTATTGTCAATTCAGCAAAAACTTATTTTAAAGATACAAAGATTAGTTATAATGAGATTTTCTAGTTGTTAAATTGAAGCAATACCCCCAAAATCATATTTGAAGGTTAGGGTATTTCAATTTCCCTCCTCTGGTGCAGCCCTGTACCCTGTAGGACACCCGAGACAGAATAACGAGCACAAATAACCAATTCTATTCTATTACTCAATACGGCACTTGTTTACTGCTGAAAAAATTGATTTCTGAACATTAAAGTTGGACATCTTAGTAGCTTAGAATGGAACAACTCCAATGAAAACGAATAGCACTCCCCTATACATAGAAATGGCAAATCCTTGAAGGAATTCTTACAAAGAACTTCTAACTGTCAAAAAAGAACCTAATTCTCAACGAATGGGAGTTATCTCAATTTACCCAAGTTTGATCACTAAGTCAGTGTGGCCAGCATAGATATATTGAGTGTCACTGCGATTCACTGCAAGCACCCTCTATAAGCATCAGCAGCAAGTGCCATTAGTCTGAAACTCTCATATTTGGTGTTAGGAAACACTTTTCTGCCAATAGTTGAAACCAAAGCCATAGCAAAAATATCCAAAGCTAAAATTGCCTAAGAATCTGTCCCTGAATATTCAAAATAAGAAAGAGGTATCTCGGGAGGAGATGGTGTTGTTGCCACACACTTAAACTGTACCAAAACAACAAATGCAACTGTAATCAGCATATTTCTCCAAAGTGATAAGTAGAATGAAATTTAAAACTCAAGATTAAAAAAAAAGTTACTAAAGATGGGCCAGATTACATTTCATCATTAATATATGATAGAAAATAGGGAAAAAGGAAGCAAAAGAAGTGTAAAACATTACCTTATGTTGTTTGTATTTCTCTCTCACAGCTTGCAAAGAACCCCCTTTCCTACTGAGGTACAAGTCATGTACGTTTTGAACACATTCCTTCAAGTCAGCAGATTTGTATCTAGTGAGTTGATGGAGCCCTGAATTCTGTAAACAGATAATTTAGCAACTGCCTCCACATCGGATATCAAATATATATCTAAAATTTTAAATCATTACCCAAGGATGTGTCTTTGGCCTTAAAATAAATCTGGCTAAAAATATAACAGATGCAGCCACCATAGATGGCAAGAACTTTACACAATTGTAATCCAACAAACTGAGCTCGGCAAGATAGCAGCTAAGGAACTCAAAATGGAGATCAGAAGCCTGCAAAACAAGACAAGAATATTAGTAAAATGATGAAAATGTGTCTCTACTTCAATTTAATTAATTAATTGCAGCTTGCAGGAAATGGTAGACAGCTAAAATTTGCTATATCGTATAGGAGATTGCATCACAGTCAAGCAATGAAAGTCAAATAGTGATTGGAAATCATGAGGTTGTCAAATCTTGATTAAAATTGTGAATCAATGCTAATCTATGAATCATAGGTCACAACTTGTTTTGAATCTTAAATTTAGAGACAGAAAAAGTATTTCAAGTATATCATATATTTTTTTATACCAAAATTGGCATCATCATTCTATTGAATAAGGAGTCAATGAGATGTTCAAAATTCTTAGACCAAACACTATCATCACTTATGGTTAGCCGAAATTTAACAGTATCCAATTTAATCCAAAACTTTACTTGCCATGAGCCAACAAAAAAATCATAACTTTCAAATATATCATATATAGAAGATATATAGTATTTAAAGTAATAATTTTAAATTAAAAATAAATATAGTAACCTAATTATAAGTCTTATAAAAACAATTATTTGTTATATCAAAGTTGTGAAGCCTTCATTTTAGAAAAATTAAAACAAAGCAAAGAAATAGCTAAATAGAATGCATGCATGATTGAGTGACACATAAAAGTAACGTAATGATACAATAAAATAAGTTAAAAAGTGCTCATTCAAATCCTTTTCATTTAACAATTTAAACTTATATGATTTTTCAATTTTTTTCACGAGAACTAGTGAAAGAAGAGTAATAGAGGAAAAAAGTCAATCAAATTATTCAATCATGTGATTCGTATCAATGCTATGACATTGCACGAATTCATCAATGTATTGTAATATACAAAGTTATTTAAGAATCTATCTTCATGATATGAATCAATAGGTAGTCAGTAGGATTTGAATCAGGAATCATAATATTTTAATAACTAGTAAAATATATGTTACATGTGTATGTGTATCAATTATATAGGTCTTAAAAATTAAGTTGTATGCAAATTAAAATAAAATGCCTAAAAAGTTCAATAAGATACAAAGTTATTTGACAACATTGTTGCATGTAACTGGATGCATTAGAGATAAACACTGACAACATGCTTTTGTTATACTATTGGATTGACAGGCACCTAAAAGAGGAAATTCTGAAAATCACTTTCAAGCTTATGAACAAGCTTTAACTTACATCAACACCCTCTTGACCAACTCTAGAGAATCTCCTGCAAATGTAGAAAGCATACAGAGTGAGCCAACATTGTAAGAAAAGAAAAACAACTAAACTATGCCAAATCAATGCAACAAGAACACATAATCAACAAAAAAAACGCCGCACCTTAAAAATGTCTTCACCGTAGGTCCACCCAATTCAAACTTTAAAGCCTTCAATATATCAGCTTCCATGGTGACAACCTTCAATACCAAAATCACCACTCACTAAAATCAGCAAAACCCAAAGCTAAAGCATGCAACAACACCAACAAATAAAACACAAGAATCACCTCCTCCTTAGAGTATGTGTTATCCGTAATGTAACAAAAGTCCTCAATCTCAGGCGGCTTAATCTCTTCATATTTCCTACTTGCAAAAACAACATAACAAGATTAATCAAACAATGCACATCCCTAAAACAAAAACATGCACCCAGATTGAAACTACTCAGAAACTCACGAAGCAACAAGCATGGCAGCAACCCCAAGCAATTGCAGTCTTTGTCTGGACAAAGCATTCAACGACAAGAATCTATCAATATAAGCAATACATAAATACAGAGTGTCCGACACAAGTTTATATTCCTCAGCAACTTCCACCAACCAATCAACCAACACACTTCGCATACTAGAATTAACATCTCTTTGAATCTTCTGTATGTAGTCAGGCAAAGGTCTCTTTCGAAAATCCATCTGAGGAAAAAAAAAACACACACACACACATTAGTCATTCTCGAAACGACACAGTTTTAACCATCGGAAAACCTAATTCAAAACAAAACCCTATACCTCCAAGCTGCGAAGGTATTCGAGTATATCCGAAGCGTAAGGTATACACAATTGAGGGTCGGTTCTGTCGTCTGTGCTCTCCGGCGTGGCTTCCAACGGCGTCGTTTTCTCTACTTTCACTTTTTCCTGTTTTTGAATCTTCGAAACACGTTGCTCCGGTGCGGCGACCGCGTTGGAGACATTGGTGAGGTCTCCCAAAACGACGCGTTTCTTCTTAGTGGCGGTTTGCAATTCGCATATTGCAGCTGCGGCTCTCTTCTTGGCTTCGCGTTGGGGACGAGCGTTGGTGGCTGCTTCTGCCATTGGGAATCGGAATTAGAAGGGCGATGGAAAGAATGAGAAGGGATTAGGGTTTATAATGAGAACCCAGAAGTTGAAACGATGGGTGTGGGAGTATTAAAGGCGCAGTGAAGAAGAAGAAAGTGGTTTGAAAATTTTGCGGTGGCTGTGGTTCCCGCTCGCAGTGAAGTACATTTTGGGATTTGGGGGAAACCTTGGGCATTTGCACCCTCTGAATGAGTTATTGTTGTCTATTATGTTTCTTGGATTCTGTTTGTGTTTTTTTTTTTCTTCCTTTTTTAATAATAATTTCGTAACATTTTTTTTTTCTTTTTTTAATTTCGTGTTCTTGTTCCCTCTCTTTTAGGTTTTTGGGTGCATTTCTGCACTTCTGCTTTTCAAGTTTCAACTGGCGGGCTCTGTTTGGGGGGAATATGAATACTGCAGTGCGGTTAAATATTTAACCAAAATTCAAACATTAGTTAGTGCTCGTGACTCTGAGTAAATAAAAAAAATTAAACTTAATATTTTAACATTTACGATGTTAACAATATATTTTTATTTTATTAAATATAGCTAAAATTGACTGATAAATAATATTGTTAATATATAAATTATATTATAGATAAAAATTATAATAAATACTTTTATCATATAAATTATTTTTCAGATTTATAGTAAATCATTTATAATGTGATACAATATTATTTTTAATTATTCATAATGTTTTTTTAAAAAATTAAAATTTAATTTAAACATTAAAAAATATATATTTAAATAGATACAAAATTAAAAGTACCTAAAATATTAAAATAAAAATAGGTAAAAAGTATTTTTGTTAAAAATAATTTTTAAAATATTTTTATTAAAAAATAATTTTAGTTTATATATATATATATATGATGATTTTCTTGTTCAAACTTTATTTTAGTTATTTATATATTTATTTTTGAGGGAATTTTTCAATGCTATTAAAGATTTAGCAAAAATAAATTTATTTTAACTATTGACAGTTTTTTTTTATAAAAAAAATCAAATATAGTTTAAAGATAAATATGAAAAACAAATGAGAGATTACGAAAAAATCTTTAAAATGGTCTTGTAGAAAATATTTTTGAATATATATATATATATGATGATTTTCTTGTTCAAACTTTATTTTAGTTATTTATATATTTATTTTTGAGGGAATTTTTCAATGCTATTAAAGATTTAGCAAAAATAAATTTATTTTAACTATTGACAGTTTTTTTTTATAAAAAAAATCAAATATAGTTTAAAGATAAATATGAAAAACAAATGAGAGATTACGAAAAAATCTTTAAAATGGTCTTGTAGAAAATATTTTTGAAAAGATAAATTATATTTTAAATCTACAATAAATAATGTATATTGTGATATAAAATTATTTTTAATTATTGATAATTTTTTATTTTTAAAAATGAAGTATAATTTAGAAATAAATAGGAAAAAAAATAAGAGATTAAGAAAAAAAATCTTAAAAATTGTCTTCAGAATTCTTTTAACTTTTATATTTAATTTAATTTAATCATTATTTATTATAATTATATATAAATTAAATTTTAATCAATTTTTATAAATTCAACACAAAATATTATCTTTCTCGAAAATATTTTTAGGAATTATTTATCGGTGAAAGTATTTTTAGGAATTATTCTTTGAAGATGGAAGTGTTTTTACAAATCTTTTTAACTTCTAATCTAATTCAAAAAGTTTATTTATCATATATATTTATAAATCATGTTTTAATATTTTTATAATAAATTATTAATAATTAAAAATAATTTTATGTCATAATATAAATTATTTATTTAAAAATTTAATTATTATTTATATGTTTAAAGTATTTATTTATATAAATTTAAAATATAATTTATATATTTAAATATAATATTTATCTATTTATATAATTTATTATGAATTTTAGTTATGTAACAAAATACACATACTAAAATACTAATTAATATTTACATCCAAGAAAATTTTATAAATTAAAATAATTTTATTACATAGGTGTTTTCTAGGCACTATTCTTAACTACTTTTTTTAACAAAAGCATTTAAAAATTTGATGTTTTTTTTGTTTTAACTAATGTGGTAGCCTGTGCAATACACAAATTGATAGTATTTCTAAAATTAATGTAATTTATATTTTTTAATACAATTTAATAATTGTATAATATGAAATTTATAATAATTATAAATAATTAACCTAATTTTAAGTTTCAGAAATCTTCTTCGATATTTATGCACTATCATATTTTACAACAAAAAAAAATACTAACCACATAAAGCAGTCCATTAAAGTTTGTGTTTTTATGTCTTTTTCTTAATCGGCATAATGATTGAACTTGTAACTATTTTTTTTTTTAAGGATAATGCTCATTTTCTTAAGTTAACAAATTTTATTTTAATATTCATTGATATTTTTTAAATTAAAAGATATAAAAGTGGAATTTTAGATGAGTCGATATTTGTTTTAATATGAACCAAAGTGAAACATTTAAATGTAAAAATTTGTCACTTTTTTTCTTAAAACAATGTGAAGTTTTATTAATTTTTTATATAAATAATGTAAAATTATTTATTATTATTAAAAATTTAACAAAATAGTTTCAATTTTGACAAAATTTAAAAGAATTTAAAAAAATAATATCAAACTAAATTTATAAAAGAAAATTTAATTTTTTTAACACACTATAACACCCAAG